TCAAACCAGTGCAGGCAACAAAGGCCACCGGCCTTCTGAACTGTCAACTGAAAGGGTGGTTTCGTGAGGAGCCACTGACTGTGCACTCAACAATAATTCCGACCCCTACTCCTGAAATGTCTTATAAATGGTCGTGGCATACAGGGCGGATTGCGCCTTTGGAGCTGCGTTTTGTAGATAGTCGTGCAAACCCTCGCAGAAATTCGTCCTGAGGCTTTTAAACCATCAAAGTATGCAGACGAACAAAAGTATCGCCGATCCCATATACTATGGAAACATGAGGAGACGTGGCTGATAAGCCAGTATCCTTTCTAGTTCATTCAGAGTAGGCTTAATCAAACGCCCCTTCAACCATTTTTTGATTGCGAAGTCAGCGACTCCCAAAAGAGTGAAAATCTCGTCCTCCACAAAAAGACATGATGACACAGTGAGCACAAACGATCGCAAATATCAGGACCAGCTATACATTGCAAAGGCAATACCATTATGGTTCAAGAGTACTGTTATTGTAACTAAACATTCTCTTGACTTGCTGAAAACATGTGCCTGACGTTGACTGGTGCATTGCAGGACACAAGTGAGATGTCTCTGAGAGAACTAGAGGAGGTAGGGAGAAATTATAGCTGTTTAGAAAATATTCTAGCAAGTAGGACTGGATGCGAGTGAAGTAAATGTTGAGAGAAAAAGTGGCCTCGAGATTGGGGAGAAGGAAGGTGTACGTACATACCTGGCGATGCTACTTTTCGATTCTTTATCCTAAAACCCTAGGAAAAGTCCTGGAAGAAACCATGTCAGTGCTGACCAGAGCAATATCGCGACACACCCTCTACAGCCTCCCCTATGACGCTCTGTGTCTCTATATTCCTCACAGTAGTTACCTTAAAACACCAGTGATAGATTTTGGATAAATTTTTGATACACGAACTTCGCCAGTTTCGTATCTCTCCAACGAAAGCGAAATCCAGTTCGATGTTTGGCACAAAGTGCTAGAAAAAATTGCTCAACTGACACCATCGAGGAGGAGCTCAGAAAAATCCAGGACTTCCTTCGAGAAAACGGGTATCCTGACAGGTTCATTGCAAAGAACAGTGCCGAAAGATCGGTCAAACCCGCCACACCGACCTCTGAAAAGAAAACTTTGTTCTCAAAGTCCCTTTCCAAGGGGACGCGGAGAGTGAACTCCTAAGGAGGCGCCTTGATGAAGCTGTCTCGCGAACCTTCCCAACAGCAAGGGTTCAAATATCATTCTCTAATAACCTTGTTTTACGCGGAGAAGGTAAGAATAAGTTGCCGCCGCAGACCACCTCAATGTGCATATATTCCTTCACTTGCTCCTGTGGAGCAGGTTATATTGGTCGTACGAGTCGGCGCTTATCCAAGAGAATAGGGGATCACCTCCCGGCATGGCTGGGAAAAGGCGAAACGAGGAGTATAAGCAGCGCCATTCTCGCGCATGTTGTAGATTCCAGACATCGTGTGGACCCCAACGAAGCTTTTCGTGTGATTTATAAGGTCCCATCGTGTTAACCTAAGCTACTAGGCCAGCGCCTGTTAACGACAGCAGAAGCGGCCGCCATTAGGTTACGAAAGCCAATCTTATGCGCAAAGAACCACGTTCAGGCTCCGCGCCTACAGTGGTCGAAGGTTGACTAACGGTGCAACTCCCCCCCCCCGCGCACTTCCGCTCTCACCCCGCACCTGACAATGACTACTACCGCCCCCCCTCCTACCCCTCTCCCCCACATTCCCACACCCGGCCTGTGTTTTAAGGAGAACTTTTATCGATTGCTCTTATCGCGGACATGTTTTGCTTCTACCCCGTTCCTGTATAACTGCACTGGCCCGACGAGAATTTATCGAAAGCTACGTATGCTTGCTACCTCGTCTTCAAATTTTTGATATCCTAGTCGACACGACATACTACCATTTGCTGTTGATGGAAAGGACGAGGTGATGTTTGCCAGCTCCATTTATGAAAGTCTTGGAAAGGGCTGTATTGACATGGCCGCCATTTATATCCTCCTTTAAACTTCTATTGGGAGTCAGTGTTTGGCCGGTTAGTCTCCAAGATGCTCATGAGAACTTCCCCTGTGATCGACATGGATTTACGGGATTAACCACAAGGACGAGCACTGTGCTGATTTGCTTGGGTCTTTGTGCCAGTCAGACCAATAGAACCAGTCAGCACATCCGATGGGTATTCAAGGGGGTGCCATGACTCGTACATCAAAGGTCTCAGTGGCGGACCCGAATAACCGTGGTCTCTAGGAGGGATAGTGCCCAATTATATCCTGTGCGAAGTCTACTTGAACTGAATATACATGGTCATGGGAAGCATTATGACGAGGACAATCGCTTTAATCCCGCCAGAGGACAGTAATGGATGAAATGAGTAAACCTTAATATTTGGATCACATAAAAATCCCCGCAAACAACATGGGAAACGTATAGTTGTTTCGCTGGTCAGTTCAAAAAGTAAGTTTACATGGCGGCGAATATATGGGTCTCATGTCCTTGTTGCAAAGATGATGGTGCAATCACTGGAACCGCAGGTGCACAGTCAGCGACCGATCTCATGGAATGCTAAGCGCAATTCTGAAATGAGTTTTCGGTTAGAAAGGATTACTCAAAAAGGGGTGTGATATTGACTATCGTACGACATAGTCTAGTGATATTTCAGACAGGCGAGTGTTGACTTTTGAATGGACTTTTTCGACCGCCTGCAAAAACCGCAGTCAGAAAAACCGACCATACTTAATTCTATAGGGAGCCCATATAAAAATAATATTTCTTGTATTTATTTGGCTGTAAACCATGTCCACTTCAAAATTCATACTTGACCAAAGGGTGCCTTTCGGTTTTTAAATAAATCTTCCTAACTGAAGACGTATCTCAGAATCTCGGTCAACATGTCGGGAGATCGGTCACTGACTGCATAAACCTGGGCTGTCGGACTCGCGCAGAAGCCCATCACCCAAGACCGTGAGAGTGCAACAAGAGAACAGTTTTTGTAGTCGCACTGTGGTCTCACAGCGTGATGACGGCGTGCGTCCTTAGCCGGGGGAGTGGGCCGTGCCACTCGGCCGCGAGAGCGTACCACGTGATAGCAGGGGGAATGAGGGGAGAGGGTGGAGTTGATGTCGGAAGCCCGGGCCAACAGTTCCGTACCGTCTTATTGTAGCTGGCACGTTCACATTCGATCGGGGCCGTCCGCCTTTCCGGACGGTTTGTCATGGGATTGTCCAAGAGGGGACGAACATTCCAGGCCGCCAGCGTGAGCAGGGTTTTACCGGCGGTTTTTAAGAGACCTTTTCTAGCCTCCTCTTCCACGAAGCGGTAAGCAGTTAATACTGTCGTACCCGTACACACAGGGCCCTGTGGTAACGTGGATGCTTCCGGCTTGGCACCTGTGCTCAAAGATTTGCAGTAAATGATCGTTTTTCAGAGGTCTCCTCGTTTCGTCGTAGTTCTCTCCGATCCGTTTGCGTAGAACCTCGCGTGCCAGCTCCGGTGGGATATATGTGAATACTGAAACCACGTCAAAGGATGTCATAATTTGATCAAGTCGGACAGTTTTTCCTCGGATGTCGGCCAGGAATTGGGAGGCCGCATTGATGGAGGTCCTCGAGCCCTCTCGGAAAAAGTTCATTTGGATAGAAGTTAAGTGGGGCTCCCTTCCAAGGCAACACAAGAAGCACGATCCAATTTCCGGCCAAGGGCGCACGCCGTCACGACGCCGTGAAACAGTTTGGACACAGCCTTATAGCCAACACCACCCCCTCCACCCCTACCTCCCCCTCTTTGTTCGACTACAAAACTGCTCATTTGGCGTTGCATTCTCACAGTCTCTGATGATGGCCTCCTGTACAAGATCGAAAACTCCGGCAAATACACTGACTGTCCCAGTGATCGCATGTTTGCCTCCCTTGTAGTAATATGTGCATTTGGAGGACGCAGTCATGATAGTTGTATGAAGCGAAACCGGGCATGTCGCGAAACAGTCGTGTTGGCTTTTAGCTAATACGTTTTCTAAAAGAATGATGGAACTACCTATTGTGATCGAAAAGCAGTACTGCCAACGTGGCACGCGTGAACATTACGCGCTTTTTCACATCATCCTTGGGGCCGTACTTCAAAAAAGGCCTGCCTCCAGTATTTCAGTCCATCATCATGCTTTAATTCCAGACGAAATTATAAATTGTAGGTTGGAAAACTAGTGTAAACTATAGAAGTCACGGTCAGATGTGGTTATGTAGCCCCACCTGAAGTAAACAAACCCCAGCCACCTGTAATAAGCGACTGGTGGTAGTAGGGGTTTTTATAGGTGGGGCCGGGAAACGCACATGCGGTTGTACTTTGAGTGGTTGAGAAAAAGTTGCCCTAACAATAACCCCTAAACCTAAACCCTAACCATAACCACTAACCTTAACCCCTAACCCAAACCCCAACGGTACTGTGTCCATCAGGTGGGGTTACATAATCACATCTTACCGACGTCGCATCTTAGATGCCGGAATCCTAGTACTGAACCCGACGTCCGCAACTGCGTCACGCAGCTGCAGAAAATTGCTGGCATTTATCCCTGGATTTTAAATTGACACCTATCATGGGAGTATGGTAAAAATGCCTTATAAATTAATAAGTGTTCTGGCGGATTTGAATAACTCATTTGATGCAGTTAAGAAAACTTGGCACCATTGGTGCGATTTGAACCTACGACGGCAAGGGTGGATTCCATACGTTGCGGTAGGCCGAGCGCGTAACTTTGCACCTTTTGTAACCAATAGGGAGTTCAAAGGCTTTCGTTTACCCTTCTCTTAATGAAACTGAATTGAAAATGTGAATAAAATCACTGCTCCCCATGCGGCCTCGTACCCAGTAAATGCTAAATGCCACAACAAACCCCACAGTTAACTTCGGCTCTTCAATATATAGCACATGCGGTTGCCCTCCCCCTTCATTTCAGATTACGGCAGACCTCGTTCATTTGTAGCCGCATTTTACTTTGTCCAATCATCATCATGATCATGATCGTCATGATCATGATCATCATCATCATCATCATCATCATCATCATCATCATCATCATCATCATCATCATCATCATCATCATCATCATCATCATCATCATCATCATCATCATCATCATCATCATCATCATCATCATCACCATCATCATCATCCGCAGGACAGTAAGTTCCATCCTTACGTCCACTTAATAATTTCAGTAGGATTTAGATTGCCCTACTAGTGGACGACTGACGCGTCGCACGCACTGCAGATGCTCAGGAAAAGCAACTTAAGAACTTAGAATTGAAAATGGGGTCTCGCGAATTGCAAACGACAGTGCGTTCTATAGTGGTTGTTTTCAGCGTCACCGACATTTCTGGTAGTTAAGGCCTGGCCACGAGGATAGCCCTGATTTTAGCTTCAGTCTAAGGGTGGTTTCGAAAAACGCTGTCGAAAGTTAACATGGAGCCTTTGAAAGCGTCAACTAATTTTTGTTCTCTTAATCAAAACTGTTTCTGCCCCTAGATCTTGGGTCGAAAGCACATGAAACGGCAGCTTAGGCAGAACATACGCTCATATTTTCATAGTAGTTCTTACCATTTATCCTCGTGCTCATTTTTTCCTCTTTATGGATCGAAAATCCCGTCTTCGGGTAAAAGTGGTGTTGTCACATAAACTTAAACTGTCAGCGGTATCGCCCAAAAGGAGCAGTGCTAATCGCGCATCAGCAGATAAGATGTATCATGGCCCCAATTAATTTTGTGGCTATCATACCAAAGCTCCTTGGCCTGATGTCAATGATAGTTAACGCAGCTGTAGCTGCTTTCAACCCGCCAAATGTTCAGAGATCGCCTTGTAACGGCTAAGGTAGTGGATGTATATTGACCTTTTCAATCATAAACATGTCCCGTTTAGCGGTAGAAACTCAAAGATATCAGTAAACGGGGAGTTTATTTAGTAAAGGAATGCCGAGGTTCATTCTACACAAGCGTTGCTTCAGGAAATTTACTAGTTATTTGACTCTTCCGTCGAAGTTGATTGCTGACTGGCTCACGCTAACGTGTTCATTACGCATTTGCCAGAAATGATGATCCTGTGGTTAGGCAAGAGTGGTAAAACATGACGTGGCTGCTCGTTGTACCCAGGAAGTTTACGCCCAAAGTGCGGCTTGTGCACTTTAATTTACCTTTCATTACCATCGTAGACCTATGTGTGCGCGGTAGTTTAGATAAAATCTTATAGTTTGTTCACCGAAGTGAAGATTAGCACCATCAGGCTGGCGACGTACTATGAACACAGAAGTAAACCTAATGACATAAAGGCTGACGGTCTCGCTCTCTAGTTTACAGTAATCATGGTGTAGCCAAGTTAAGATGACTGTTTCTGACTTGAACGAGTTGGTTGTGTGCTGTAAAGGAGGTTGACTTCTTTCCAAAACCAAGCCAAACTTCATACACTAACTCCTCGGCTTTAGAGAGGAAGGTCGATTGGACTTCGTTGGTCTCTCCGGCATGTTGGGAGGATTATCAAAGTGCAGCTATTGTGCTCAGAACAGATTCGTACAGCCGCAGATGAGAGCTGGGTATCAGATTCCAGTCGGACACGGAAATATGGATCCCCTCAACGCATCAACTAGAGGTAAGATCAGATCAGGGTTCTACATTAATAGGTTGAAGCAAAAGAGCAATGACATTTTCAACTCTTAAAATGTAGCCTTTTGATTGACGATTCGACCAAAGTTTCATTTTAAGACACTGTATGGCTTTGTTCTCTCTCAACCAGAACGAATAACATAACTGAGAAGGATGAAACAACGAATAACTAATTGCTCAATGGGGGGGGGGGTACTGCGAAGGAAAAAAGTGAACTTCAGAATGAACGCAGGCTGACAAAGACTCCTGGTTAATTAAGTCAAGCACAAAAGCCTAATGCTGTCTTCATGAAATCTGAACCGAAACTATATTTTTTACTTCACTCTGTCACTCCCCAGTCATGACAAAACTTTCATAATTAAGGAAGACGGGAAGTTCGGAGCTGATACGTAGGCAGTCCAAAAATCTACATTTTGATAATTTAGATTCAATCGACTTTAAGCTCTCGGCTGGCTGTAATCAAGTCTGCATATTAATGTACGATTTTGTAAACCAGTAATCGATAGTAAGGGAGTACTAATGATGAGAAAATAAGGAGAGGTTGGACTGCGTCAACTCGCTGGGCAGTTCAACCAAATACGCGCATTTGCAAAAAAAATGCGTGTCGTCTGTCTTGGTTAGCTTGGTCAGGGCACACCCAAATGCATCTCAAGCAGTGTTCTGAGTCAAACATTGGACTGTTTAATGGTGGTGAAAATGCGATTCCCAGGTGGCATATCAAAAGAAAAGGAGGCGTTCACCGGGAGAGGTGTATTGGAGGTCTGAAGTCTCAAGTAGCTGCTTCGTCTACCCATCTTCGGAGACTGGGAAGTCATGCACACAGTTCTCCTTATATGACGCACTTTGTTTGGTGCCTGGCCCGCCAATGCCCTCCAGTTCCCCTCCGACCAATCGTCTCAATCCGAGGCACACCCACATACAGGCTTGCAAATTAGCTATTTCAGAAGCTAGGATTGCTAACTGCGGGCTCACAAACAACAGTGCACTCAGTAAAACAGTTTCTTGAAAAATAAGGGCGGTCACGATCGAACCGAATGAGAGGATGGTGTCATTTTATGTCGTCTCACTCTTCACGTCCATACCACAGGCCCTTGCGGTCGAGACACCCAGTGACCTGCTACGTCAAAATTAAGATGAAGGCGATGGCCAACCCAAAGCTCAGGATCTCATAGAACCCATGGGGCACCGTCCCAGGACATTTTTTACCTTCGAGGGGACTACATATGAGCAAATTGAGGGCACTCCGATGGGTTCACCAATCTCTGGGCTCATTGCCGGGGCGGTTCTGCAAAAACTCGAGAAACGACTGTTCGAGGAGTGCAAACTTAAGTTTTGGGTGTGCTACGTTAATGATACTTTTGCAATCATCGATCAGAATAGAATTACCTATTATGAAGAGCTTTTGAACTCAATCTTGCCCGATCTACAGTTCGCGATGAAAAAAGAAGTGGAGGGCAAACTTCCATTCTTGGATGCTCTAGTCTGCCGCCAACCAGACGGCAAACTGGCGACATCAGTCTACAGAAAACCGACAAACACGCTGTAAATGCTCATTTACAACAGCAACCACCCACTGCAACACAAATGAAGCTGTGTACGCACGCTATACTGACGGTTGGAAACTCATTGCAGCACACCAGCCGCCAAACTTGACGAAATGAAGCTCCTCCAAGAACTCTTCAGAGCCAACGGCTATCTACGAGCATTCGATGAACGGAGCCCAAGGCAAGCAAGGAGGCGGACTGAAGAACATAGTCAGCCAAAATCGTGGCGGAACCTTCCGTGCATAAAAAAGGGTCTTTGAAGCCGTGGCTAGATCCTTCGCGCTGCTGGGAATATGCGTTGTCCACAGGCCCGACTCAACAATCCGCCGGCAAATGATGCAGCCAAAAGACCCGATCCCTAAGCCAGAGATGTCGGCTGTTGTCTACCGACTGCAGTGCAGCTGCGGGGCGTGCAATTACGCGGAAGAGACCGGCCGACGGCTGCAAACGCGAGTGCACGAGCGTAGGTTGGCTGTGCGAAGGTTGGACCCAAAGTCGGGGGTAGCAACCAGTTCCGCCCAAATGGGACACCTCTTCAACTTTGACGCCGTTGAGATCGTGGGCCGAGGTGATGGGCATACGGCAAGGCAGTTACAAGAAGCCTGGATGCGTACCGACTGTTCTGTCAACCGCCACATCAATTTGCCTCCCCCCATCTGGTTTTACGGACATTCTTGACGGGGGAAGTCACGACGCGGGACAATCGGGGCCGTCAACTGTCGTCGTGGCCGACGAGGACGGAGGGGGGGGGGAATCCAGACCATGGTGACATGCAGGCCGGATGTAGACACACAGGCGGGCCAGGCATCAAACAAAGTGCGCCATATTAGGAGAGCTGTGCGCATGACTTCCCAGTCTCCGAAGAGGGGTAGACGAAACGACTACCCGAGGCGTCAGAGTTCCAATACACCTCTCCCAGTGGACGCCTCCTTTTCTTTTGAATGGACGGTTTCATCAGGGGACCCCAAAAAGTTTTCAGATTGTGTACAGGGCGCCGGCAAACCGATCGAAACTACTATGGCAGAAAATACGCGGTGGTGGTGGCAATTGCCACCCCTCTAGACGATTCTGTCTCGTGTTCACAAAACGCGTATGTTTGAGACAAAACTGACGCCCATTGCCCGTCATCCGAGGCCGCAGCTAACAGTGCGCGCCAACAGCTGACTGGCGAGGCCTTTCCCCTCCCCTCCACCCCCTGTGCTGCACGAGGCCGGCAACTCCATCTCGCCTGCCGGCCTCACCCCACTGTTCAAGGGCCCTTAACATCGATCTTTCCTCCTACAGTCCCGTCCCGCGAGTAAGGCCTACGTGCCATCCTATGGCTCTCCACTGCTTCGGATTCCACTACACTCTCACCATTGTCCTTCCTAATTCTATTATGAGATATAGGCCTGACAATCAAACAATCTGGAACCTTATTTTGCCTCGGGTCGAGTTAATTTTTCGATTGGATTTTTAGGGCCTACGACCACCTACTAATAAAGTGTATATTATGATATATGGGCGTTCGCCGATCAGGTTACGGAACATGCATGTATACTACTTGCATATCCCTCTTCAGACATGAAAATAGAGCGCACTTAAATAGTCGTGCATGGCACCCAGGCAAGCGTGTATATAAATTTCACAAAGAGTATTCCAACGTGTGCTTAGATTGTAATTTCATAAGTGCCAGGGCACAAAGAGAGAGAGAGAGAGAGAGAGAGAGAGAGAGAGAGAGGGAGAGGAAGAAAGAAATAGAGAGATGATAGACAGAGAGCTTCATAACAGTTCAACATCTCTGTCCGGACGTGCGCATACTCAGGCTGATACTGCTGATAAATACTCGTTTACCTTCGAGCGAATTTATAGCACGAACAAAGCCCCATGTTTCATAGGTATTTTGGCAGATTTTGAATAATTCCTATTGACCCAACTGTGAAAAACTCGGCGCCTCGGTGGGATTCGAACCCACGCAGTAAGGAGAAGGCTTTAGTACAGCCACACACAGTACTAAAGCTGTACTAAAGCCTTCTCCTTAGTGCGTGGGTTCGAATCCCACCGAGACGCCGAGTTTTTCACAGTTGGGTCAATATGAAAAGCCCCGTGTGCTAGGGCAAAAGCCCAGAACGGATGTCACTAATTATGGCTGGTGAGTTTCAGGAGGGTAAAGTGGATGAGTGGCACTTGTCCTAGATTTGCGTCCCCGATCGTGCATGCATTTTCTGGATGGTGGGCCCGGCATCAAGAGCGGCGCGCGGACTATTGTTATGCTACAAGCACGACAGTGCGGACGGGCGCGTCATCTATTGGTGGAGGACCACTAAACAATGATTGGCTCCTTAAGCATCACGCAGAAGTCGGCTGCATGCACTCGTCCACGTCACAGATGGAAGGCACGGCTATTGGGGACGTTGTCGCTTCTTCATCGGTCGCCGAGCTCGAGGAGCTGGCCCGGAAACTTGATGCATGCGACCCGCTTCGTCGCTTCCGTGACAAATTCCAACTTCCAGATCGTGAACACGCCCTTCGGGCTCTTTCTATCACACAGACCGAAGACGGGAAAACTGACCGAGATGAGGAAATAATCTACCTCTGTTCAAACTCCCTTGGCTTACAACCGAAGCGCACGCGCGAAGACCTACTCGACGTACTAGATGATTGGGGTGAACTCGGCGTCCTGAGCCACACTGCGGGAAAAAGGCCCACTGAAGGCTCAGATGACGAGCCGCGGCGAATTCTGGCTGAGTACATTGTTGGTGCAGAGCCTGACGAGGTCGCTGTTATGGAGTCCCTTACAGCAGACATTCACACTCTTCTAGCCGCCTTCTACCGTCCAACGCCTAATAAAAATTGTGTGCTAATTGAAAAAGGGGCTTTTCCCACGGACTATTACGCAATCGAATCACAGATAGCGCTTAATGGTTACGATCCTCGTGACTGTGTGATCGAAGTTGAACTAAGACCCGATGACTACCTGTCAACAGAACAAATTAATGAAGTGATCAGACAGAACGCACACCGTCTCGCCTTGATTTGGTTACCCGGGATTCAGTTCTTCACCGGGCAGTTGCTGGACATTCGGGCTATCACCGAGGCTGGCCACAGGCTAGCTAATTGCCCTGTTGGTTGGGACTTGGCTCACGCTGTGGGAAACGTTCCGCTGCAACTGCATGAGTGGGATGTCGACTGCGCGGCCTGGTGCGCATACAAGTACCTTTGTGGCAGCCCAGGTGGAGTCGCCGGGATATTTGTACACTCCCGACACCACGCTGAAGAGGGTAGTTATGTACCCGTAGGAGGTGTCCCTGGACAGCTCATTCGCGGGCCCCGATTAACTGGTTGGTGGGGACACAGGATGTCTACACGATTCCAAATGAGCAATTGCATGGAGGCTGAGCGAGGTGCTGCTGCTTTTCGTCGCTCCTGTCCATCGATGCTGCTCAATTCAGCCCTTCGTTCCAGTCTACTTATCTTCAAAGAGGCCGGTGGTATGTCACCGATCCGAGAAAAATCAGTCAAGCTGACCGGTTTTCTGGAAGCCCTGCTTACGCAGGGTGAGTTCGCGTTGCCCACAAATATTCTCAAGATTATTACCCCCCTCGACATGGCACAACGCGGGGCACAGCTTTCTCTTGAATTTTCTATGGATGTTGACATGCTGTATGACCAGCTCATTAAGCACGGAATCATTTGCGATGTTCGCCGTCCAAATTGCATCCGTGTGGCCCCGGCACCGCTCTACACCTCTTTTGAGGACGTCCTGAAGGCAGCTAAGACGATTCAGAAGGCAGTGTTGAACTTACTTAAACAGGAACAATGAACAACAAGTTTACGCAGAGGCTCGACATACTTCTGCCTGATTTTGAGACATCAAATATGATTAAAAGCTTCCGAAACATTTGTGCGGTCTTCCATCACATGACAGTTTGACCGTCATGACCAACGATGTCCACCGTGAGCTCCTTGCGCTGTTTACCTCTGAAGCATCATTCATTTTGCCCACAGAAATAATTTGCTTACAGTGACCCTCAGTAAATAGTCCCTAAAACGATTTGTGAGAAGTTACTACCTTTCCGCGCACTTTATCCCTTGTAAGTCAATTCGGTAGTCATGCGACCATACGCGGGAAATCATGAAATATTGGCCGACACATTTAAATAGCTTAGTATTTAAAGAAAACTAGTAGATATCTCAGTACCGATTAGTACGAACATAATTAGAGGCAATGCAGAGGTAGCAGTATATAGGTGTTTTGCTGGTAATACTCCTAGCCACATCCATAAAATCGCCTGTGAACGAGGTTCTAGATAAGCTCTGTGTAATTTCCTATCCATTTTCATCGAAAAAATGCAATCAAATTTGCCAGACAGGATTGGCAAGACATTCGCTCCATGTTTGTTTTGTAGAAAATTGCGTTTTCACATACAGTACAGCAAAGAGCATGAGTTTACGTTTTGAAACGTTCATAATTAGTGAAGTTTACGAATACTCACATGCATATTTGTGCGCCCAACCTCCGTAAGTCTAGAAACGCTTTTTAAAAGGTAAACGCGACACAAATATAGGGTGACAGGCCATGTGCATCAAGGGGTTTCTTCATAAGAATATAAAGAAGTGATGATTGCGACTTGGAAAAATGGCAAGGTCTGAAGTTCGGAAAGCACACACGAACGAGGTAGCGCGTCAACTTACGATGTATGCAGGGGTTAGCAGACATTTTCAAGCCTAATGTATTCACGTTCTTTGCTTACAAACTGTGAGAAAATAGGTTCCTGTGGGACGAAATCTTCAGAAGTCATGCCTAGGGAGTGCGGATAAGTTTACGCAGGCAGCAAAAAACGACGGGAAGAAATATTGATTGGTTTAAACAGGTGGCTTAAAGATGCTCGACCAAGAGCAAGCACCATGTCGTGCACTAACTACTTAAATGTCTTTTTCAGCAATAAGTGGTACCTCTGCATGCTGCGCACCGCTAAGAAGTTGCGATATCCGACGACGCAGTATCCCACCGCTAATTGACCCATCAATCTACCAGGCTTCATACTGGGGAATCTGCACTGTGGGAAGATGGAGGAACTAGGGCGCCCCACACAGCACTACGGAACCCGCCGGTGGTCTTAACCTGGTTCCCCGATTGCCGCAGTAATACAATCCTGCATGAAGTGCTACAATTCATTGCTGCCGCAGCACACGCACCAAAATTCCAAAACACCATGGCGTCACTTGCAGCGCACTCAATGCTTCCGCAAACTTCTGGGTCACTGTAAACGCGACAACCGCTAGAACCCTGGCTTATTGTCTGTCATCTGAGAAGAAAGGTCTCAAATACACGAGCTTTAACAATCATCTAGATAAAGTCCAATGACTAACCTCCATTGAGCAGCATCAACAGACCAAACATCTGGAGCATAGACACACCGAGTTACTGCGCACAGGAGGCAGGCAACGATCATGATATGCTCCCAAGAGCTCGTGGTTCCGCGTTTCCAGAGTAGACGGTCGTGATATTTCGAAAACCAAGGCGTGAGCCTCTTCCATACGGGCTGGTCGGCCGGCTGGCGGAGAGCCGTTTTCGTGCAGCCGCAGCCTCGGTCACTCTTCGCGCTTTTCCTAGTTATTACAGCTGCAAGCAAGTCTACTTCCGAGGGAATCTTACGTCCACATGTTATACCCAAAAGGTCGCCCCCTCTTTGGCCGATTTTATTTTCGAGATAAAGGGGACTATATATCGAAGCCCTACGCCTTACTTTAATTTGCCTAATCCGATGCAGCGGCCTCTTTAGGTCGTGTAGTACAAGATCATGATGGCAGTTGACGTGCCAAAGGGCACGTGAAACTGACGAACATGCGCTACACGCCTGGTGTTCTTTCCAGCCGAACCAAGACCTGATTCAGAAACCCCCCCACCCAGTCACACCAGGCAGCATATTTTGCGTTCAAATTCATCTAAAACCGGAACTTCGGGACCATGGAATCAAGAAAACATATATCAAAACCATATCCGCGAGGTAAATGAACTGTGTCGACTGGAATCCTTCAATATGCAGTTTAGGTTCTCGAGGACCCCTTAATGCTTTGTTAAATGTACCGAGAGATGGAATTCTAGCAGGCAATTAGACATGAAGCGCAGATTAGTAGGCGAACCACACCCTGTTTTTTGGTTTTAGTACAGCCATGGTCTAGTTGGCCTCGATGATGTCGTGGATCCTAACTCTCCACGCGTAACTACTCGCGGCAGCGGATTTGGACAGCTCAACTCATTCTCGCCTCCAGTGACAAAGGCCGAACATCAAAGGTCCAAAGATCGTTCCCATGTCTTGACGAACTGTGCCGAGCCAGGTGTTGAGTTGGTCCCTTCTTCGACGTTTCTAAGTGGGCAACGGTACCGAATCGAGGTCAGTAGCCGAGCTAATGAAGCTGAGGACGAAGAACATATCCATGTCACCTCAGTCGTCTTTTTGGATGGCCTCGTGATGGCGTTGCAGCGAGTGCGAGAATGTCTCCTCTGAGACGAAGTCAGTGCATTTCACTTGAAGAATGGTCCTCAGGTAGTGGTGGTCAAAAAACACTTGCTTCCGTTCATTCTCCACTTGCACGGCCGTATAGGACTGGCTGGACGGACGCACGATACAGGCATCACGTCGGGCCAATAGGCGCTTTCTAAGTATTGTGAAAACCGTGAAAACAGCACTGATCCAGGGAACGATGTTGTCTTTGCTAGACCCACTAGTCAGCACTCTTGCCCCCCGGTGTGTGGAACTGTCTACTTCAAGTTAATGATTATTAATCCCGAGGGATGGCTGCTACAAGGGAAGGTGTAACAAATAATTCCCCGTCTTACGCGCGGAAGGTAAGGATAGGCTACCAGCTCAGATTATCTCCATATGCATTTATTCCTTTATTTGCTCCTGTGGAGCAGGCTACATTGGTCGTACGAGTCGGCGCTTATCCCCAAGAATACGAGAACACCTACCTGTATGGCTGAGGAAGGGTGAAGATAAGGGCCTACACAGCTCCATCCTCGCACACAGTTGATTTAGGGCATCTTGTGGATCCCAACGAAGCCTTCCGTGTGATTTACAAGGTCCCACCTAACTACCCTAAGCGACTGGGTTTAGGATTAGGGGCTATAGTTGGGGGTTAGGGTTAGGGTAGCTATTTCTCAACCACTGAAAGTGCAATCATGCACTCCCAATGGCACTTCTTTTGCATACAACTAATTGACCTCGTCGCCTGTTCGTTCGCCGGCTCCATCTGTAAAAACCCCTATTACCACCGTTCCCGTATTAGAGGTGACTGAGGTTCGTTTACTTTAGGTGGGGCTACAAAACCACATCCGACCGTTATTTCTTTTGATCTGATATAAACTTGTTGGAGAAACGGAGGAATCCATCCCGGGCGAGGCTAAGGAGGACGATGCTTGATTGGGCAAGGGGGACTTCCACTTTTCCCCTAAGCGTGCGCGGTTGGCTTTCCGAACAGTCTGCTCGTGTGTTATTTTTCTCCGTTTGAACACTTTGGTGTCTCGCTACCTCCCCATTTTCCGTCCCCAAATAAACTCTTCTCGCCAAGAGACCTTCTTATTTGGTGAGTTATCCTATCCACTTGCTCGCTACATTACGACTTGGTCACTAAATACAACATTAGTGTGCGGCAAAGAGGACCACACTTGCGGTGTCAGGTGGTCAAAATTGCTGCTGAATGAAGACCTGGAAAGTACATCAGTTAAGTATTCTGGCCTCCGTGGGCAATTCTCATTCAGCGTGCTGTGTTGCAGTAGTCTTATACTAAAAAAAACGTAATCTAGTGTGCTGTTTAGCGCAAAGGGCTAGAAACATCTGTTCGGCAGATAGCGTTCAAGAGGAATGTAGAATAATCCGGGTCCTGCTTCGCAGGAACAGGTATCCTGACAGATTTATTGTAAGGAATCTTGCCGAACGACCGGCAAAACTCATTATACTGACGGCAGGAAAGAAAATTCTGTTCCTCAAAGATCCCTTTCAAGCCGTTTCGCGGACCTCCCCGGCAGCAAGAGTTAAAGTATTGTTATCAACCAACCCCGTCCTACGCGAGGAAGATGAGGACAGGCTACCAGCTCCAACCACTTCCACGTGCATTTACTCCTTTACTTGCTACCGTGGAGCAGGTTATATTGGTCGTACGAGTCGGCGCCTATCCGCAAGAATACGAGATCGCCTGCAGGCATGGCTGACGAAAATTGAAGTTAAGAACATACACATCTTCATCCTCGCACATATTATTAATTCAGGGCATCGTGTGGATCCCGACGAAGCCTTCCGTGTGATTTACAAGGTCCCACCTACCTACCCTAAGCGACTGGGTCAGCGTTTACTAGCAACAGTAGAGGCAACTGCCATCAGGCTACAGAGGTCGGACTTGTGCGTGCAGGGGAACCTCTAGCACTCTCCACGTCCACCGTGGGCAAGGATCGACATTTACATAACAAATTATGAGTTACGACACTTAAAAAAGACGTATTTGTAACTGGGTCCAATGATTCCACGTTATTCTTAAGTATTTCCTAACCCTAAAACATGCTTAAATGATAATTCCACCAAAAGATACAGAATAACCAAGACACCTTGCGGTATAAAAATGGGATTTATTCGGTGTTCAAATATAATAGCTTGCGGCGAGTCCCGTCAAAATAGTTTGAGATGACCGGACACCTTGTCAATCAGATCCGCGGGTCCTAAATAGTGGAAAGATGATAAATTCGAAGAGAATTACCAGGTCCAATGCCGAGAACTGTAGCTGATCCTGCGGGAATCTGGGTCCGGCCGGCGTCATGGATAAGAC